TGGACTCAACAATTGTTGAATTAAATATTTTTTCGCAGAGTATTATATGGTGGTTGGTCCTCTACGTACCTGTAAACATCTGCCTACGTAAGCAGACAGTTCTAATTTAAGTTCTGAATTCTGATAACATGAGCTCATTTGGTGGAGGAATAAAGCTTCCTTCCCTTTTCTTAGTCCAAGATTTGAAACTGGGTAAAACTGACCTTTTATAATTGTCTTTTTGTACATCTCTCTTCTCCTAATGACCCTCTTATTAGATTGCTGAATACATTATTCTTCAGAGAGTGGAAGGCCTTCCAACTCCCATGCCAGGAGTCCCCAACTCCTGGGCAGTGGGACTGTTAGGAACCGGGCTGCACAGTGGGAGGTGAGTGAGGAGGCAAAGCTTCATCTGTATTTGCAGTGCTCACCACCGCCTCAGTTCCACCTGAGATCATCAGACTTTAGATTCTTATATAATCACTGGTCTCTGGTGCCAAAAATGGGGACCACTGGTCTACGCAATTGACAGCTGCTTCAAGTTGAAGGACTAAAACATACATACACTTGGGCATGAAAGGTTGATAGTTTCATCATCTTGTATACTCTTAAATTTTTGAACGACATAGCTGAATTAAATATATTTTAAAATCACAGGCCTACCTTGCCTAACATCTGATCCCTGAGCCAACTCCTCCAAGCTTTTTGCACTTTGTTCCTCTCTCTCTTGAATCCATCTTTCAAAAAGTCCCAAATACAACTGTTTTCAAACAGAGAAAGAGTATGTCTGAGGCAGAACTGTGTAAGCACAAATCACGTAATTCAGGAACTACTTGTTTTTAAATCAAAGGAAATTCGAGAGTACATTTTATAGAATGGTATTTATAAACAACTTAATCTTTGAAAGAAACTTGAAACTTTTAGATAGGATTTTCTGAAGGTATGGGTGGATGGAGTTTAAGAGTTTAGGGACAACCTATTTTATATTGAACTAAACCTTTTCTTTAAATCTCTTGGATTAGATTGTTTTCAATTAATCTGGCAGTTTTCAGATTACTTTTCATATCCTTTGCAATTCTCTTGGAGTTCTAAATTAAATATGCTAAAATATATGATGTTTTTACTCCTGGAATTACATTTGCCAAACTTAAACTTATAAAAAAAAAATTGAATTACAATTTAAGATTTATAAAAGGTACTGCATTTGCTGATTTCTTGGTGAAAAATTAGAATTCATTTTCTAAGCAATTTATAGTAATATTTCCTTAGTGTAGAACTGGAGACACAAATTTAAAGTTCACTGTTAGAGAAATAGTTTACAGTGGCATTAGTCTCTGAATTAATGATCTGAAGGGACAAATTGTGAGGACTGGCAAAAGCAAGCTTCCTCAATAATAATGGAAAATCCGATGTATATTTGTCAAAGGAGGCTAAATATTCTACCCAAGCTCCATTTAATTAGAAGAGATCATGTATCTTGAAGGTATAATAGCTTAAAAGACAAAATCACTCTTAAAAATGAAAATACTTCATTTCTCTAGTCAGACACACAATAACTTTTATGTGTAAGAAAAGATTCAGGAAAGCTAAGTAATTTTTCCAAGTGGCAGGAAAATGTGCTAGATTTATCAAGTTGTAAAGATACTAATCAAAGCAGGTCACATATACATAGCTATATCATCTGATGCTTGAGACCAGATCCTGAATTTCAAAATAGACTTATGTTTATGAAAGATATTCTACCAAAGTTGTCTGAAAGGAAACATGTTAATATGATTCTCAAAAGAGTAGAAAGGGGTAAGGGCTGGTTAGCATTGAAGTGATTAGGGAGTAGAAGGGCAAAGCAGTGTGCAAGTCTTAAAACTTGGTTGGTTCCTACTTTAAAGACTTTAATGTTGAATTAATACCAGTGGAGCTAACAGAAAGCTAAAAGCATTTAAAATTATTCCTTAAGTGTATAGTTCCACTTTCCATAACATACAAAAACCACAACCTTTTAGTCAAAACTGGTAAAAGAGTGGACAGTGTGGTAACCAAAACCTTTCAGAGTATCAGAGTATATTTGATTACTGACAGGCAGCTCAGAGCACTGTATAAAATGCTTTTCATACGAAATATTTTAGAATAAAGCTTTTTCACCCATCATGTTAAGTGGTATTTTTTAAAATCCCATTTCATCAATTACATGGTTGAGGAGGAAATTATAATGTATAAAATACAAAAAATGGTTAGACTTCATATATACATTAAAAATACTGTAATGAATGTCCTACAAAACTAGAACATTAGTATTTCTAATTCAGCTACATTTAACATTTTAAGGTCAAAATTGTATGGTTTACTAACAATGCTAAACTCTTCCAAGATTTTTACGAAGTTATATACTTCACAATGTGTTAAATAACATTCCTTCTCATTAAAATATGATTGCCCCGAAGAATCTGACCAGTTATATAGCTTATGGCAATTTTGAAAAGGTCTTCGATTGAGTACTTTTTCTCAAGAAGTATTATCATCACAAAGCAAATACTGCCTCACAACTGTAATAGGAATGATTAACCCCACCCCACCCAAAACCCATTAAATTTTTTTTACCAAAAGAAAAAATAAGCTATCACTTGGGCTTGGAAGACTTATATCGATTTTTGTTGAAATTAAAAGTCAATTTAACAACATTTTAAGTCTATACTATTAGGAGTAAGCTAAGAAAACTAGAATGTAGTCTTTTCTTTAGAAAACAGGTGGTTGTAGTAAAGAATCCAAGTTTCCCTCTCTACCTTTAGAAGTATTTCTAAAAAGCATATTAATACTTAAGCATTTACTTCATAGACTTATACTCCTAGAGCAGTAGTAATTTTGTTACTTTTTCGGAGGAACTAATTCTACACAAGCTATCACACACACAACCAATCCATTTCTAGGACTAAATACAGATTACTGGCACGGCATTCTTTCATCTGAAGAGACTGACCCTTTAAATTTTTTACAAGCATTCTGAACCTGAAATCTGACATTCTTGATTTTGATTTTTGTAATCTAGTTTATAAACTGGAGATGTAGGTTTTGAATTATGTGAACCAAGCATATACTTAAAACTCACATACTTTTAAAAAATGGTAACTGTCAACCCACTGAGCATCCACCCACCTCCACAAATTGATATTTCTTTTCTAAGTTCAGAGTTGTGGTATATTCC